CTTTATTTACATTTGGTGTCCGCACTTATTTTGTGTTGCGTGTGGCATTTTGTTTTGGAGGTTTCTGTATTTTCTCTCTGTTTGTTTCCTCGTCTCTCTCTTTACACAAACATTCACTCACGTACTGACACAACAGGGACACACACACGTAGCCGCACCCACCTGTCTATCTGTATATATATATAAACACACACACACACACACACACACACACACACACACACACACACACACACACACACACACACACACACACACACAAAACCTCTCTCTCTCTCTCTCTCTCTCTCTCTCTCTCTCTCTCTCTCTCTCTCTCTCTCTATATATATATATATATATATATATATATATACATATATACATACGTTTTTCATTTTCCCCCATCTCCTTTCCCTCGCATAGTTTGTTCCAACAATGTAAAAGAGGAAAAAGGACATAAGAGAAATGTAGAAGAAAGTCGGAGGAGAAAGAGAAAAAACAAAGAATAAAATGAAATAACAAAGATATTTACGAAAGTCAAATGAAGAAAAGCAAGAAGAATACGAGAGAAAACTGAGGAAGTTGAGAAAATAGACAAAGAAAATATCACGTAAAAATAACATATAAAGGTATATCGGAATAAGCGAATAAACAAATGAAGAAAAAACAATGATAGGGTAGAGAAAAAGAGAGTGAAGAAGTCAAAAAGTATCAACGTAAATAATAAATAAATAAATAAAATCACAACAAAGATAAGCGTTTAAACAAATTTATTATATTAAAAAATGGGAACGAAAAAATCAAAATGAAAAAAAAGGAGACAAGAAACAAGAAATATTAACCACAGAGCAATGCGTTTAATTAAATTTGTGAGGAAAAGTAAACAAAAACAAAACAAAAATACAAAAAACTAAATAAACCAACAGCCGTAAAGGAACAAGAAAACAAATACACAGAAATGAACCTGAAACTTGTACAGTTGGAAAGAAAAGCAAAACAACGGAAAAGAAAAAGGGAGAGGGAGGGAGAATCCGAAAATAAAACAGGAGAAAGATAGAGTAAAGGAGAGAGGCTAGAAGAACGAAGAGGAAGAGTGAGAAAGACAGAAACAGAGACAAGAGAACGAGAGACAGACAGACAGAGAGAGGGAAAGAAAGAGAAAAAGAAAACAAAAACAAAGCGAAAGAGTGACAAAACGAAAGAGAAATTAAGAGAAAGAGAAAGAGAGGAAGGAAGAAAGAGAGAGGGAGAGGGAGGGACAATCCGAAAATAAAACAGAGAGATAGAGTAAAGTAAAGGAGCGAGAAGAACGCAGAGGAAGAGAGACAAAGAAACGAGAGACAGACGGACAGAGGGAAAGAAAGAAAACAAAAACAAAGCAAAAAAGTGGCAAAACGAAAGAGAAATTAAGAGAAAAGAAAGAGAGGAAGGAAGAGAGAGAGAGAGAGAGCGAGAAAGAAAGAAAGAAGGAAAGAAGGAAAGAAAGAGAAAGAGAAAAAGAGAGAGAGGGAGGGGACCGTTAATGCCGCCCGAGCATGTGGTGGGAGTCGGGCCGCCATCACCTCCAGGAAATGGCAAAAACTCGGCTCACCTGTCGGGGCTGCAGTGTCGAGGCCCGGCTTAATTGCGCCCTGTTTCCGTAATTGGTAATTAACGAAGGAACCGCCAGTTGGGTGCTGCAATCATGATCGTTGACTCGTTACCCTTTTTCGATTTTTTTTTTTTTTTTTTTGGGGGGGGGGGTAGTGGTAGTTTTGTGTGTTTGTTTGTTTTGTTTTTTGGGGGCGTGTTTTTTATTTCTGAATGGGTGGGTGTGAGTCATTTTCTTATCCTTTTTTTTTGAGTGAGAGAGAGAGTGAGTGAGTCAGGGAGTGAGTGAGTATATGAGTGTGAGTGAGAGTCAGAGAGTGTGTGTGAGTGAGTGAGTCAGAGTGAATGAGAGTCAGAGAGTGAGTGAGTCAGTCAGTCAGAGTGAGTGAGTGAGACAGAAAGAGACCGAGACCGCGTTTTAATTCATCTCTAATAACGAGCAACTGATTATGTCTTAGACAGGTGTCAGGAACTGAAACAGGAACGCCGGTCACTTTTTTAAAAAGTAAAACTCAATTAAAGTACAGTTACCTAGAATTACCTTCCTCCTGAGTGGCATTCACTCCGCCACCGGTCAAAACCTCCGGAGTTAAGTATTAAGAAAGTGTTTAAATTACCGAGAGGGAAAAAAGGGAAGAAAAACTAGTCAATTGCAGATAATTCGAAGGTTAAAACACCCAATGACTGTGACAGCTGACGAGACCGTGTGACAATTTGCAAAAAAGAAAAAAAGAAAAAGAAAAAAAAAAGTGGTTTTCGAGTTTAAACTTCCTTTGACGTAGTTCTCTCGTGTTGCTCAAATATACGTGTGTAGATAGGAAGATGGATAAATAGGGAGATAGATATAATGACTGATTGAGAGAGAGATCAAATTATTGATCGATAGGTCTTACCAGTTGAATCTGACAAGAATCCTGAGAGTGAAAGCCAT